ATGTATACATATATGTGTTGCTGTATACAGTCCTGAGACAACTGCTCAGGTTACAGACAGGTTTCAGTGATTCACCCTGCATTTGTAGAGTAAAGCAAACACCAAGCGCTGATATTGCAAATAAAAGCTTACCTTTGAAAGCTTTCTTCCTCCATCTGTCAGAATGAGATTTAGAAGGCTCGATCTCCAGAAGCAGCTCAAATTCTGCAGCTGAATCCGAATCTCTTTCTTTTACTGCCTGGCAGAGTTGAATGCATTCATGAGATTTCCAGGCTTTCCTCTTTCAGAGGAATCTAAGAAAACCATTAATTCAGCACCACTGATTTTTGTCAGTACCCCAGGCTTTGGCTACCCAAAGCAGTAGCAGGTAGAGTGTATGAGTGCACAAGTGTGGGTTTTAAAAAAAAAAAAACAAAACAAAAAAAACAAATAGCACGCCTCCCCACCCCCAAAAAGGCTTCAAAACCCCCTCTCCTCTTCCAAAATACCCAGCTGCAGAACTTTCCTAATTTTAAAATTGCCTCATGAGGTGAGCAAGACTTTGGTGCTCACTTTGGTGCTTTATATTTAATCTAAACAAGTGCATTCATTCCTTTTCCATTTTAATTACCCTGCCAGAAGGTACCTTCTCAATGAGAACCTAATTAGGAGAAGTAGCCTGTGGAAGCAGGGTATTGCATCCACCTGGGACAAATTGAAATAAATGTCCTTGCCCTCTCACTGCATTTTAATGTTGCTGTTACATTCTGTTTGAAAACCTTTTACTATTTGCTGTTGCTCTCCAGCCGAGTGCTTTAAAATTCTAGCAATATGCCTTTATTCTTGCTCCAAGTGATAAAAGCTATGGAGATATTTCTTTCTTTTCCCCCAAACGGTTCATGGTTACAAAGCTAGAATTCAGTAGAGTTCTTATGCATGGACTGTTAGCTTCTATATCTTCCTCCATATTTCAAATACATATTTTGAGGGTGCCTATTTTGTTCCCTAGGTGCCTGTACCGTATGTTTAACAGTAAAATAAAGCTAAAAGAATCGAATCCATCTTTCTCAAAAGTTGTCTTGGGAAGAGAGAAAGGAGCCGGGCATTGTGGAGTAGTTGAAAAGCTAACACGTACTTGCCACGGAAAACACAGAAGAGGAAGCGAGTACCAAACGAAGCTCGGCTCACGAGGAGCACTGCACTAGGAGCAGCATCAAGGCTCAGCCATAAAATAACCCCATTGTTCCACACGCTAACAATTCTAGTATCTGTTACTGCTTCCGTTAGCTCACTTTAAGACAACAATAAAGCAAGTAATGGCCATGCATGTGTGTTTAATATAAATGATAATCTGCAGAAGTACGATTTACTAGGTTCTGCAGAGACATTGCTGGCACTGATCTCTTGGGAAATTCACAGCAATGGAATTTTAAAAAAGAGTTTGGGTTTGTGCTTTTATTCATAAGTTATTTGAAAGTTTTCTATTCATCATGAAGATTTATTGATTGTTCTAGGACTATGGGATAATTAAATATACAAAGGCTTGGCAGTTATAGCAGAGCATATTCTTTTAGAAATGCTAACAATATGTTAGATCCAAGGAATTCTAATCTTAGTACTCTATGGGGTCATAAATAAGTTCAGTGTAGTGGATATAAATATACATGACACCATTTAAAAATCAGGTACATGACTGGACTCTAGCTATTGCATTTATGTCTCATTTATCCATTATTTATTAACATTAGTAACCCCCTCCCCACATGCTTCCATTTCACTGGTTATTTGAAAGCTGAATAAAACCACATATATATATATTATATATATATATATATACGTGTGTGTGTGTGCGCACGTTATTCATGGGTTTTTAGTCTTGTGAGGACTTACGGGCTATAATAAAATAGAAATACGTCATTCTGTTAAGTATCCCCAAGTTTTGCGGAAAGTAAATTCTTGCCACCCCTCCCCTCCCAAAGCTAACTGTCCAGCTACGAAACAGGTGGCTATCTGCCCTCCAAGTGAGATTTTATTGCTAAAATAAAGTAAAAATTGTTTTAAAACAAAGAAGAAACATTTTTATAGTATATGATGCAGTTGCTTTTAAATTTTAATGCCAATTTCAATTTTTCCCCCAAAACCATAAAATTATATAAATATACAATAAATATTTATGTTACACAAGGTGAATAATAGAGAACAAGGCCACAGACATAAACTTACATTTGCAAGAGTCTTTACTTTAACACAGCACTAGGCCTGCTGACATGCATGATATACCTTTGTCACAAACAGACCACAGCTAGATTTTACTTAAGTAACATGAAAGAAAACCATCCCCTCCCCCTCCCCAAACTTTGTTTTAACTAAAACTGCCAAGCCTGTGATCATGTATGCATTAGGGCAGTCAAGTAAGAGCCATGAGCCTGCAGTTTAATTCCCAGTATCATATCATATAGGTTGAAAGCATCAGTTTATAACTGGCACGTTATGGGGAACGCACTCTAGATGTAGCCACAGGATATGGTAACTCCATCCCCTAGTCCTCTGCACGCACATGGGTTGCACTTCACCTCTTTGGATGCATTTCTAATGGAATTACTTCAACAGTCTGGCAGGTAGCAGTGTAACAAACTGCTGTCCTGGCTGTGCTGAGAGGGGTAGCAGTGTCCCCAGCACCACAGGCAACGGGAAGGGACTAGAAACCTCATCAGATGGCTTTGCTGCAAAAGCCAGGGACAAGTATAAACGACTGGTTTATGTTTTAATATACTGAATTTACATTTGCTGTTCCAAAAATAATCTGTAAGTGTTTGTTTGTTAGGTATTCATGAAAAAAAGGAAGAAAGGGAAGCCATCTTCTTCAGCTACTTTAAGTAAAAGGTATCCTATAAGTAGTCCCATTTTTTAAATTACTCATCTAGAAAGTTAATAGCCCAACTTGGTCCTACCGTTCAACTGTTTTAATTCTGGAACAGTGTCACCGTTATTTATTCCAGGTGAGGAATTCTGAGTTAAGGATATATCCGTCATTAACTCTGGAAAATTAGGAACTTTCTTTCAAGTAAAAAATTATGTTTCAACGCTTCTCTTTAGAAATTCATTATGTTAACTGGGGATTATTTTATTCCTGCTTCTAAATTAGATTACCGTTAGGTTACAGCTATCATTTCTTCTGCTAGTCTACATGAATGATCTGTTTGTTCGCTCATTAGCATCATCCTTTCCCTTTCCTAGGCAACCAACTCTAATTTTGAGGAGAGCCATCATTAACACCTAAAATTTAACTGGAGTGGAACCAACTGATCAATTTGGTTAAGTCTTAATCTCATTAAGGTGAAAATACAACTACAGTTGTCTTCAGTGGTTCCAGAACTTCCATCTCTCTGTAGCAGTTGAGACTACTGAGTAGTCCCAATCCTACTGGGAATACTTCCTGTGCAAGGTGTGGGTCACTAAATGCATGCGAATATAAAACACACAAAACTAGTGGCTGATGTGAAATGAAGTCCTCTACTATGCCAAATTTCAGTTTGCAGGAAGAAGGCTTCAGTTGAAGTTTGAGATGTTTCATTAAGAAATTTTTTTCATTTCTAATGTCCGTA